CTATGTGTAAACAGACCACATTCCACTCTGAGGTATGAGTTTATTTCTTAAAGGCAAATTTGTATATGGTACAGAGCTAATTTCAAGAAAAACATGTTTCATGGTCTAGTGTGTGGTGTCCCTGCCCAAGGCCGGGGGCTTGGAACTGGATGATCTTAAGGTCCTTTCCAACCCAAACTGTTCTATCATTCTATAACTGTAAATTATGACTGTTTCTCTGTCGTATACCTTTAGTTCCTTGTATTATCCTCATATAAATGAACAGGAAAAACTGAAATGGGAAGAATGCTTGCTGTATTTAGAATTGTAGAATCATAGAATAGTTAGGGTTAGAATGGACCTTAAGATCATCAAGTTCCTACCCCCCTGCCATGGGCAGGGACACCTCCCACTGAACCATGCCACCCAAGGCTCTGTCCAACCTGGCCTTGAACACCACCAGGGATGGAGCATTCACAGCCTCCCTGGGTAGGCCTTTCCAGTGCCTCACCACCCTCACAGTAAAGAATTTCCTCCTTATATCCAATCTAAACTTCCCCTGTTTAAGTTTTAACCCGTTACCCCTTGTCCTATCACTACAGTCCCTAATGAAGAAACCCTCCCCAGCATCCTTATAGGCCCCCTTCAGATCCTGGAAGGCTGCTATGAGGTTACCAGGCAGCCTTGATTCCAAAATTCTAGGAAAGTTTTAAATCACAGCCATCTCCTAAATCAAATGTGTAACAAGGGTGATAATGAGTGTAAACACACTGAATAATAAAATGTAATTTGTGTTCTGAGTTATAGGGCTCTAATCCAACACTCGCTGATGTCTGTGGAAAGAGTTCCATTGAATTGAATTAGGCCTTGGCTTTTGTCCTGAATTAACACAATACCAATGGAGCTATTCATGAAAGAAATGTTTGGAAATAAATCACAGGAACTTGCTGTGTCAGAACCCAATTCACTTGCTAATTCAGGCAGTCATGTTTTACAATGCTTGTTGGGATACTTTGTCATAGTCCCTCCCATCAACTAACCGATTTCAATCTTTATAAAAAAATCATTCTCCACACTGCTGCGATTGGAAGTTTGTTTCTGGATCAATACTCTGATGTTTGAAATCTTCTTTAACTGCTGAGCTACACCTGTTCATGTAAATTGTTTCCACCTGATTCATGCTGACATAGTCTCCTAGTCTGTAATCTGCACAGTATACTTTGTCTTTATTCTGTACAGTTCTGGTAAACTACTGATGATTGTCCCATCTCCTCTCAGGTTTTGCTTTGTTTTGCTAAATAAGCCAAGCATTTTCATTTCTTATTCAGTAAGTCTTTCATTCCCTGTAGCCTTTATCTGAGTCTGTTCCTGTTTGGCTTAATCTGTCTGGGATACAGGCAACAAACCCTGCATTTTTAATAACATGTAATAGTGCTCTATACAATGTTGTCAATAGCTTCCTTGCTTTACTGGAAATACTTCTCCAGATACATTCAGTATTTTGTTTGCCTCCTTACGGCTGCATTTCACTGATGACTTCTATCATGTGACTGACAGGATCTTGGATCCCAGGTGAACTCCCCTTTAGTAGTACTGATGGTTTTTAGTCCAGGAGTGCATAGCTTTGCCCTTGTACTCTGAAGCTTTTAGCTCATGTCTATCACACCAGTGCTCATTTCTTCCATGGATGGTGCTCTGTTTGTCCTTTGCATTGGCTGTCATAAATGATAACAATCAAGCTTGAGTAACCAGCAGCCTCAATTAGTGTGTGCGCACTTTGTGCTAATTCTGTTAATGAAAAAATAAAAGAACTTTAGAAACTGCTAGAGGTGGTGAATGATGGGTGATGAGAGCTGACGAAAGGTGACAGGGAAGAACTGGGGAAAGGTGCCTGGTGTTAGCAAAGGAATAGCAAGATGAAGAGATGGCTCGGAGCCTATGAGAGAGAAAACTTCTGCAGAACTGGTCAACTGAAAACGAACTGCATTTGCCAGAGCAAATCAGGTCTCACAGAGACACACTTGGGATGAATGGAGACAGTCCAAAATCCCACAAATGCCTATCTCATGACTTTCTGCATTTTGACTTGAGTAGCAACGCTGCTGCTCAACTTTGGACATTGCTTTATTGTCAAGAGTTTTCGAAGTATTCTGAACGTTCAGAGACACATTTTCTAGAAGTATTTAAAGAATACTGAATCCTAAAAGTCCTGAATTGAGAGGATTATGAGTCTTGAATAATTTATTCACAAAACTTGAAAGGGAGAGAATTTTCTTAGGTCTTTAAAATGCGTATGATACATTTTCTTATAGGTTGGAATGAGTCTGAAAGACTTTTATCCAGATAAGTACATGCAACAGATATTAGAAATCACAGGCAATAGCAATTAAGGCATAAGGCATTTCCTGGGAATTAATATCAAGCTAGGAGGAGCTTGGATGGCTCTAAATGCAGCTGAGGGCCATTAATTGCAGTTGATGATTAATGACCTCTGCTGAGGTCATTATTATTATCAGCTGAAAATGAAGAAAAATTCAGATGTATGAATCTTTTTAATGGGAGATGCAGTTTCAGTCAGTGCAGTAGGTGCGTCCCACTGTGGACAGACTGCCCTGTATTAGTATCAAATAGAGGCCTTGATTTCCCTGCTCCCCACGGCATTTTTTGGAGCATTAATCAAAGCTGAATCTCTAATGCTGTGCCAGTATCAAACTGAAAAGTAAGCAGAATAAAGCCCATAGCACTTTAATGTTCTCCCTGTATCACGTTTGGTGTCCAGTATTTAATCAGCTTTATTTAGAGATACTCCCATCTATCCCTTTCGGTGCCTAATGTAAGTGTGTCTCATTATTGTCCAGAAATGTGCCCAAAACATTCCTTGTGCTCACTGTTCTTGGGCCCAAGTTTGAACTCAACGTCTTCCCTTCTTCTGCATTATGACCCTCACCAAGATCTGCATTCTGGAGTGTCACAAAGAGGGCAGGCACAAAAGACAAGAAAATACCATTTTTTCAATAGAGGGAGAATCTGTACCCTAACAAACAGTAAGTCATAATAAATAATTACTTCCCAGTTGCCAGACAAGTCTGTGCATGGTTTCTTCCATGGTTGGTGAAATTTTTTTTTTATATGATGAATGATTTTATTGTTGACTTGTAGGGAAACTGATAGCTACTACAAGGGGCTAGGAAATGTTCATGACTAGGAAATGTTCACTTTGCTGCTTATTTTTAGCATATGTGACTTCTGTTATAATACCTTGAATACCTGTCAACACCATCATGTTTGTGGTATTAAGGCTTCTTGCCGTTATTCCCCTTGACCAGCCACTCCTCTCTTTTTTTCTCCTCTTTTTTGTTTATTCCTCTGAAGTATGTCCTGTGGTAAGAGGAAGGGGTGAGTGAGGTCAGATGAAATGAAAATCATGAAAGCTTCATAGACCACAGGGAGGTTAATTTGAAAGACAGAAGTTCTTCCCTGTGAGGGCAGTGAGGCACTGGCAGCGATTGCCCAGAGAAGCTGTGGCTGCCCCATCCCTGACAGTGTTCAAGGCCAGGTTGGACGGGGCTTGGAGCAACCTGGTCTAGTGGAAGGTGTCCCTGCCCATGGCAGGGGGTTGGAATTAGATAAGCTTTAAGGTTCCTTCTAACCCAAACTATTCTGTGATTTTTCCAAGAAGTTCTGGATTCTTTCTCTCACTTTGTACGATCAGCAGATGAGAACTTGAGGTCTTGATGAGATTACATAAATTGCATTTTCTGTTTCATCTTATGCAGCCTTAGCAACTTATCCACTCAAAGAGAAAATAAACTTTTTTCCTAGGTGAGAAGAAAATAAGTTATATTTTAAAGCTTATTTGCAGATGTATCAAAGAAAACATTAGGTTGTTGGAATTCTACAAACGGCTGACGTAACAGTGCTCAGTGTATGAAATGGTGTGGCAAATCATCTCAAACGCTTCATTTTCAGGATAAAGAACCCTTAAAACAAAGAGCTTTGCTCAGGCTGATTCTCCATCTTCAAAGACTTTAAGTCTTGGTTATAGTAGTTAAAATGCTGGAACTTTATGTGAGACTCACTGGATAGCAGTCGAAAGTCTGAGTAGACACAAAGTAGACACTACATAGTAACTGCTCCCTTTCAGTCTTAACACTTTATGAATCTATGCTTGTGAATGAAACGACCTGTGCAAGTGTGTCAGAACTGATGTAAATACTTTGGTTTTATTTGACGATTTGGAACTAGTCCTCTGTGTTTGCATATTTACAGAGAAATTGCAGAGAAAGTCTGATCCTCCAAGGCTGCTAATGAACCTTGAATTTCTGTTGATCTCTAGGTCCATAGATGTGCAACACCTCAGACCTTTCCTTTACAGCATTAAAATATTCACATTTATGTCATCTGCTTTTGAAAGTGGTTCTACGGCTAAACATTTTGAAGCCTGAAATTTGTCTTTGGGTCAGGTGACTGTTTTCAGCTCCCTAGCTTTTTTCCATGCTGCTACAGGAACTCTCAAGAAATGAGTGTATCTGTGCTAAGTATTTAAATGACAGAAGCATCAAAAAACCATAACATGCAATACCAAATAACCCTGCTGTGTTGATGTGAATGTAGCTCAGTTACAATGAACCTGACTTTGTTTGCTGACTCCATTGTGATTCAGCACAATGCTTGCTTTTGTACAGATGAGACCACAGTTGTCTGGTGTTTTCAGTCATGCACCCTTTTCAGCTTCATTCCATAAGCCACTGTTGCAGTTTCACTCAACTTTTATGAGTTCAATAGCTTCTGGGTTCTCAATTTGAAGAATCCTTCCCCTGAACATTTTGCAGAGCACTTCCAGACCAGTGCTTTCCTTAGTTTCTTTTCACAGAGCCTTCGCTAGTCTGTGGACACTCACCCCCAAAGGCCACAGGCTGAAACCCCTTGGTTAAAGAGTTGTCAAGTTTCAGATGATCCTTTGACACAGGCTGATGTGAGCACAAAGTAAATGATCACCATTCTTTCTTTTCCATCTGCAGGAGAAATTTGAAGGCTTGTTCCGTGCCTATGATGACTGCGTGACATTCCAGCTCTTCAAAAGCTTCAGGCGTGTGCGGATAAACTTTAGTAATCCCAAATCAGCAGCTCGTGCCAGAATAGAGCTGCATGAAACACAGTTCAGAGGGAAGAAGTTAAAGTTGTATTTTGCACAGGTAATGAAATCTGGTGTCTGTTTCTGTTGGTGCTTTTATGGAAGTATTGAGCAGTAACGCTGCATAAAAGTAATAAAGGTTTCTCCCATGTCCAATCTCTCTGCTAAAAGATTTCTCAAATGTCCTTATGTTGTCTGAGCTGTACCTGACCAGTGGGCCTGCAGTAAATTTAAAGGACCACTCAGGACCCAAGTTGCTTATTCAACACACAGAGGTTACATGGCTTAGAACTGATTTTACAACATTGGGTAGTTTCTGTGAATAACTCTCTACACCATAAAAGCGTGGTAATGTGAAGTATCATAAGTTCTTAAAAAAAAGTAGGGCTGAATTATTTATTTGACTGTATCCCTGAGCCATAGTCAGGCTTCCTCCTCCCCCCCTTTTTGTTTTATTCTTACTGAATACATGTATGAATTTTCTAAAAGGAATTTAGTAAGTATCAGTAAAGGGAAGAAAGTACAGGAAAAGCCATACCCCCAGCCTGGGGGCATAGGTGATTAAATCCATCTGTTGGAAGGTTCAGTTGAGGATTTGATTCTCCATGGCCAAGAAATAGAGAACCCAGATCTCCCACAGCCTGGGTGAGTACTAGGCCTCATCCAGGGTACAGAAAAGTGAGGGAGGCTGAGAACCCGGCCACCGCCTCTTCTGGATGTATTTTAATGAATTGCTGTGGCCACTGTGGCTTATGGGATACTCACTGGTGCTCATAAGCAACATAAGTGTGCTTTGAGCTGCTAGATCAGTCCTTCAGAGCTCTGGGGTTAAGAGCAGGCTTATTGGAAGGTGTCAGTCAAGCCTAAGAGGCAGCTGAATTTTGAGTTTCTGCAGTCTGGTCAGGATAAGAGCTGATTTAAGCCTAGGCAGAAGCGGGACCTTGGGAGGATGGAAAACTACATTGGTGAAAGAAACAAAACAAAACAGTATGTTTAACAGGTTGGATGAGTTCAGAAGACTTTACAGTTGGCTTTAGGTGTTGAAAAGCTGCCTCAATCCCCTTTTAGATGCCTTAATATCTAGATCTGGCTCTGATTATTTATTTTTTTTCTGAAAGGTTTCAAAAGCTGCTGTTAAGCAGATCTGAGCATCATTTCACTCCAGCTGCACTACCAAGAGGTTAATTGAAAACTTGGGTAGCACAAGGAAAAGAAGAATGTGCATAACAGTGATTAGTCTCCATATCTGAGTTGATTTCCTGCAAAGCCATTTGGGTATCTACACTATGCTCTCCAGTATATGCAGTCTTTAAAGACCCTGTTAGTTGTGTCCAGGGAATGGATATGCGGAAGCAGCACAGTGTTTGGAGCAGTGTGTTTTTATATGGGCCTGGGCCAGTCTGAAATAAGCACTTCAAGAGCTAGAATCTCTGGGGAACATGATGTTGAGAGAACCAAACTGGCTCTTTGCAAAGAGGCTGCTGTCCCAAGCATGCAAATGCAGGTTACTGCTTTTGGGCTCAAGGTGCTTGTAAACTTGCTCAAATATGTGGAACCTTCCTTAATATACCAGAAAAGAGAAGTAACTAAACTACATAATTTAAGATGGAAATGAAATGAGAACAACTAGTTGCAAATGACTAAGAACGTGATAGATTCCTTTATCACTTCAGCTAAAGAAATCAGATCTTCAGAAATCTTTCTGAAGTTACTTATAAGGCCTTGGTGCAGGAGTTACTGGTTTCTTCTCTAACGTCTGTGTTTATTTAGGAATTTAGACCAGTAGATCACAACAATTACCTTTTCAGTCTCAAAAATCTCTGAACTAGCAGCTCTGGATACCAAAGCTTTGCATTTATCCTCACAGAACATGTACAATAGGCACAAACATTGTAGCTTTGTTCATATAACACCCCACCTCCCCCACCCCCCCCAGTGCATTTACTGTAGAGGAACCATCTGTAGCATTTAAATGAAATTCATCTCCAGACCTTCTCTGTTGAGACTGACACTGAAACCCTCTCTGGGTGGCATTTGGCATTAAAAGTGTATGATCTGAGTAATCGTTCCGTTTACCCATCCCGTGTGGATGAAAAGCTGGACATGAGCTAGCAATAAGCCCTCGCAACCTGGAAAAACCAACTGTACCTTGGGCTGCATCACCAGCAGTGTGACCAGCAGGTTGAGGGAGGGGATTCTCCCACTCTACTCTGCTCTTGTGAGACCCCACTTGGAGTATTGTGTTCAGCTCTGGGAGCCCCAACATAAAGAGGTGGAGCTGTTGGAGAAAGGCCAGAGGAGGCCACGAAGATGCTCAGAGGACTGGAGCACCTCTGCTGTGGAGACAGGCTGAGAGAGCTGGGCTTGTTCAGCCTGGAGAAGGCTTCAGGGAGACCTTAGAACAGCTCCAGTGCCTAAAGGGGCTGACAAGAAATCTGGAGACGTGCTTTTTACAAGGGCCTGTAGGGACAGGACAAGGGATAAATGGCTTTAAACTGACAGAGGGGAGATTGAGACTATATGTGAGTAAGAAATTGTTTACAATGAGGGTGGTGAGATACTGGCACAGGTTATGCAGAGAGAGGTGACTGATTCCCCATCCCTGAAAATAGTCAAGGTCAGGCTGGACAAAGCTCTGAGCAACCTGATCTAGTGGAAGATGTCCCTACATAGGGGGTTGGATGAGATGACCGTTAAAGGTCCCTTCCAACCCAAGCTATTGTATGATTCTATCCTATACTAAATAATGTATTTGTTATTCTTTAAAGATTCAGACCTCTGAGACAGATGGAGACAAGCTTCATTTGGCACCACCGCAGCCTGCAAAACAGTTTCTCATCTCGCCTCCAGCCTCCCCACCTGTAGGGTGGCAACCAATAGATGATGCAACACCTGTCATCAACTACGACCTCCTTTATGCAGTTTCTAAGCTAGGACCAGGTAAGCATGTGGTTCTTGTGTGAAAATGTGTCAGGAAAAGGAGATGAGAAATAGCAGCGTAGATAATAACTGTAAGGAAGTTGGCATAAAGCCTGTAAGTGGCATTAAAGCTTTGGATTTAAGTTGGTGCATGTCAGCTGGTTCTTTGCTTAAGGGTGAATTTTACCATATATACATACAGAATTCTATCTGCAGCTCATTAGTGATGTCTGACTGAATAGCATATCAAAGCCTGCTTACACATTTTATTATGCTTGGGTCTGTGCTTAGATGAGCCAACTGATGGTTTAGGTGTGGACTGGACAAATGTTTGTCCATGAACTTGAGTTTTTGCTTTAAATCACATCTGCTCAGTACTGCATTCTAAGGTGCAGAATACCTTATGTAATGTTTAGGCATCATTGCATTTCCCCTGGAGTGGAGAGAACTGCCATTCCCCAATCCTGGCAGGGTTGCTCTCCTAGGACTGCCCATTTTTTTTTGTAAACTGTCTGGAGGAGGAATCGTTGGTAATCTGTAACCTCTGTGAACATAAGATACATGTCAGTGGGTAATGCTGATAGGCTTTCTTCTCTCTTCCCATCTTCAGCTAATGCCAGGAAGTGAAGCTAGCTGGGATTTTCAGAAAATGCTTTACCTTAGAAAATACTCATCTGATGAAACAAAAAAATTTCCTAGGAGAGGATTATTTTTGTTTTAAGGCATCTTTAACAACAGTTTTCTTTCAAAGCTGTTAAAGCACTGTCTTTTAAAATTTTCAAAAGGGAAAAGGTTCCAGTTTCAGGTCTAAGCAATATTACTTAGAAACTGGTCTAATTTACATTCATAAACCACAAGGATAAATAGCTTATTAAATTACTTTCATACTGAAATAAAACACTTCATATGCAATCTAGTAACAGTTGGGGGGTGGCTGAGCTAATGAAAATTCATCAGTTTAGTTTTTATATTCTAGTGGGATGAGGGAATTGTTTTCTCTGCAGTTGAACCAAACATGCTGCTTGCTTGTTCCGAGAGTAGCTTCCAACTGCAAGCATCTTATCACTGGGGCCTTTGTGTAGCTGTACCAGAGTAACCCAGAGCTGAGGTGCAGGATTAGCTCACATCTTTTTCAAATGGGATCTCTCGCAGGGGGAAAATGCATGATCAGGAGTACATCAGAGATCCCTGCGGCTTATTCCCATTCAGCAGGACAGCTCATAGAAAAAGGTTGTCAGGCATAACGCTTCATACTGTATTGTGTATTATTATTTCCAGAATTGATACTTTACTTCTAAACTGGTGAATAAATGAAAAAACAAAAGCCTCCTTTTTGTTTTTTGGGTTTTTTTCCTTTGATGCAGCACTGTTATAAATGGAAACACGTAAACGAATTCCCAAGCTAGCTGGGTAATAAATCAATTCCTGTTCTGGAGCAGCGGAATGTGAAATATCACTCATTGTCCCACCCTCTGGGACAGCTTTGCGTGAAGGTCATATTCACCCATAGTTAAGGAGCCTGAAGGGAGCAATATGAAAAGTCATGGTGTGCTCTTGTCTTTCTATTTTTAGCACTTGTTAGAGGGATCAATTTTAGTTAACTGCAGTGCCGGATTTAAAATAGTGTTGCAGTTCTCAGTTGTGCATTTACTGTGTTTAGCATTCCATTGAAAACAAATCCACCAAACCTCATTTCTCAGTAGGACATCAGTAAAACACAGTGCTGTACATCAACTGTTGGCCTCAGCTATGTTAGATCCTTTATTTTCATTCAAGAAACACAATTAAAACATGTAACTATGGTTAACAGCTATGAAAAAATGCTGACTGACTCTGAATGTTGGAGCTTGACTTCTATGTCTTTAACATGTGACAATATCCAAGTACCAGGAAAATTCATTTAAGCATGTAAATAGTGAATAGTTTCTTTCTGTCTCCTCAATATAAGATGGGGTTTACTGACCTACTTTGCTGGTAATGTGAGATACACCACTTGGACACAGACCCATGCTACTTTCCCCTTCCATGAGTACAGGTCATCTCCTCTATATCCTGGGCACAAAGGCTGGGACATTGGCTTTGGACTAACGTGAATAGGCTGGTAGCTAGTTAACAGATTTGCTACGTGTTGTATTTTTCCTTGTGGCTTACAGCAGTGGCTGTTTGGCATCTCAGAGCTCTAATGGAAAAGATCTCTGCTGTGCACAAAGGGAAGCTGGCTTGTGCTCCTTCAACATTCAGTTAAGATCAGTGAGGGTGCATTTACTTCTTAGGGAGGATCGTGGCATATTTAATAAAGTTTCTGGTTGATTGATGTATATTGTCACTCTCTGCAAATGCAGAAGTTGAGCTTTAAATGAGGCATGAACAGAATGCTGTAGACCACTCAGAGCCAGGAACTGTGCCTGTGCCTGGTTCTGACCACCAGCCTAGGATTTTTCCAATATATTGCAAATAAAGAAGCGTGATGTTAATCTCTCTAATGAAAAACACTTCCACTGTCAAGAGAACTTCCACTAGCTTGTCAAAGGTATAAAAGCATTGCACTAACCGGGGTGGTAGTTTGGCTGTTTGCCTACCAGGCCCAGATTCTGTCTCTGCCTGGTCTGGTTGTCACCTACATCTTTCCTACAGGAATGCTTGCAACCTACCAAGCTGTTGCCTAGTCTAAGCCCTCATGTCTTTTCCATAGTGTTTTATAAGGTCTTAGTTTCATCCTGATGAGGAATACAGGAAATAATTTCATATGAGAAATGTTTGTAAGGGGGATACAGGGGCAGTCTCCAGGTCTAGGCTATGTATAAACAGCAGAGCTGCTCCTAGCAAAGAAAAGGCAGCTATGTTTGCTCTGCCATTTGTTTATGAACCATCCTCATGGCACTAGAATAAGCCCCTCCTTTTCTGGAAAGCAGTCCTACCTTCTCCCTGTCCACTTCCTAACCTGTGTATTTCTTCCCTTCTACCCCCACTGCCTCTTTCAAACCTGTCACCCCAATTTCTTCTGCACTGTACAGTAACACACACTGTGGGTCAGGGTCCTGAGCACTCACCTGCTCCATGTGCTCCCCAGTGTGATTTTGCCCTCTGTCAGTTAGCACTCGTCCCCACGATTTCAGGCACGTTTGAAAACCAGTGCAGGCTGGGCATCATCTCTAGTAGCCCCTATAGACAAGTTTGTACCAGTTTCAGTTCTCTCCATGTTTCCCAGTCTGTCATCAGCATTTCAGCAGGCTTTGCACCTCCTCAATGCCCTCAGGCTACACTCCAGGTCATGTAAAGCACATTTTTTCACACTATGAAAGCACCATTCCAAAGTATGACACACGATGGCTCTTGTGTCCACAGTGGTATCTCTGGGTATGCAGAGGAGGCCCTGCAGCAGGCTGTGTCGTTTGGCTGCTGGGTCTGTGAATGATCAGTGGTCAGAAGAGGGGCTGGGTCAGGGCTTCATTGTTGTCTTTGAGCAGTTAAGATGTGGCTGTTCCTGCCATGGTCCTGCTGGCTTCCTTGAGGAGAATGCATAGCTCTTGCCCCTGGGTTTGGTTCACCCTTGCATGGGGAAAGTGAAAACAGGGAAGAGCAGGACCCTACCCAGAAAATGCCACACACAGGGATTTCAAACTGTGTCTCCCATGGCAAGTTTTCCATGCCCAGCTGTTGTCAAACCCTCCTGTTTGTTCTCAGTGATTCAAAGGAAATGCTAAATACCTTGCATGGCTTCCAGAGAGGATTAAAGGGGTTGGAGGGGCAGGAAGATGGGTGATAGATAACATTTTCCATCTCTGTCCTTCCTCTCTGTTCTGTGGCTGCTTCTTCAATTCCCTCCTCTTGCCAGGGACAGGTGCAGGAGAGCTGCTGGGTGTAGAAAGCTTTCCCTCTGCCTTCTTCTGGCCAGGAGAGGAGGGTGCCCTTCTGCAATATCAGCAGTGGGCTTCCAGAAAGCAACTCCTCTATTTTGTGTATGGCAGATCCGTGCAGCAGAGGTTTTATACGGGATGGGTTCTCCTTGGCATAAACGTGCACCCATACAAAGGACCAACATTATTTGCACCATATTATTTGTAAAGCACTTGCGTTAAGAGACTGTAAGTGGAAGGTCTTTTTATAATGGCAGTGACATAGTTAAGATGGAGTGGACAGCTCTGAACCCATTAACCTTTGATCATGAGTCAGAATCAGGGATGAGGTAACTGCACAGTATCATTACCATTTCTTCATTATTAATTAAATATATGAACATCCTTTTTACTGGACAAAAGTGCCTCACTGTATGAGAGGTGCACCATCAATGAAAGGTCACAGTACTGATCCAGAAAGGGATAGAAAATCACATACCATTATTTCTAATTCTGAAATACCCTACACTGTTTTTGTGCTGTTCTTGTGGTCATCTCTGTTGTGTCACTTGAGGCTGTAGCTTTGCTTATGGTTAGTGTGGCTGCAAAAGGTAGTGCCAAGTGACACAAAAGCAGCTAGGCCCATTGCTGAATGGTGAAACTTCAAATTCCTGGGTTTTCTTCTTATCAAATAAGGAAAGGAACATCGCTGCTATTTTCAGGGGTTTGTTAGGAACATTTTCTGACAAACCTCTATGATGGAGGTGCTGCAGCTTAGTTCTTCTCTGCATTGTAACCTAAAGGCAGAGTTAAAATGCTTGAGCATAAATTGGGTGATATTTTTCTGAGTAAATTTATGTGTTTCCGCTGTTACCTCAGCTTACGTGATTATTTAAATAATCTTATCTATACTAACTCGACCTGCTACTCTTAGCTTGGGACAACCTATAGCTTGTAACTATATCTCAGTTGCAGCGATTCAACCATTATTCCAGTAGCTTAGCTGCTGTGGAATTAGTTCTTTTTTCATGCTGAAGGCATTAAGAGGAAAGGAAAAAAACATAGTGAAAAGCAGAAGGGAAGATGTAATCTGGCTGTACCGAATGGATTTTTATTTTGTACTTATTACCCTATTATTTTTCGCCAAACAATGGTTACCTTTAGGAACAAAGTACAGCTGTATAGTAGTCCCTTAGTTACTGTTCCTAGCTGAGCCATAAAAATGTGTTCTGCAGTTTGAGCCACAGTTCTGCAGGCATGAATAATTGTGAGTACAGAATTGAGTCTGCAGCTCATTTATGCTCAGAAATAACTGTGTCCCTTAAAACCCTAATTTATGGGAGCATTGCATTTTGATTTGCAAAGTGACATTAATTGCTATTGCAGTTACTTGTGCCAGAGGCATCTGAATATTTTTCCTTGTGTCTGTACTTATTTTCACTGCTCTTTTTCAGCGGAAAGAGCCCTTCTGGGAAGGATTTGAACAGTAAAAGAATGTGGCATTTGAACTGCGATTATTACCTTTTAAGAGGGCAGTGAATCTGATTTACTTCTCAGTGCTGGTGTATGAGCAAAGGGCCTGGCGCTGCATACGCACAGCACTGCAGAGCTGCTTGTAGCTGACAGTGACCAATGTAGCCTTCAGTGCTGGTTGGCAGCATTGACGTCAGCCCAGAGCTGAGAAATTAGCTGAAGCCCGCAGGGAAAATAGGCAAAGCAAAACCGTATAATTTCTCAGTGCAGCACAACCAAGCTATTCCTCTTTTTATATTTCAGCCTATCAGCAAGACCTGTAATGCTTTGCTCAATTTGGATTCAGAGGAAAGGTAGCCAAAAATAGAGCAGTTAAATGTCAACATTAATGGTATCACAGCAGTAAAATATTTCTCACAGCAAGATGCCTGACTTCCAGCTATTATTCACTAGTTTGCTTCTGATTTTTTAGGCAAAAATGCAGCATGTCCTCTAATCGTAAGCTGCCTGGTCGTATCTGGACCAAGAATTTGTCAGCGCAAACAGCATGTGAGCACAGTCCCAGAACTGCGTGTGCTAATGAGGGGACAAACCTGCAGCCTCTTCTTCACAGGAATCACTCTGCCACAAAGTTGCTAATAAATAGAATCCCAAATTAACACCACCAGCAAACTACAAGTGCTTTGGGGTAGAGCGGCCATTTCACTTTCATAGTGCAACACCTAGCACTGCCAGGCTCTGCTAGTGATGCAGGCATTTAGGAGCTGCTGCACCACAAATTCAGGCCAGCTCAGTGTATTGGGACCTCACCTTCCTCGTTTCAGAGTATTTTGCAGGCAAAAAGCAGTGGTTCTGGAGCAGTCTTACGGAAAAAAAAATCCAAGCTATGAGGTGTGCATATGGTCACTGTAAGCCTGTTTTAATGTAACTTGTGGGTCTTGGGAGATAAGAGTGATGACAAGGGGGACAGGGCATTATCTCAAATGGTTTCTAGTTTTTAGTGCAGTGAATGGGTGTTTGTCAGTTCTGAAAGTCCAGGTCATGCTGTCAGACATGTCACCATTAGGACATTTTCCTTACAGTCTTAAATTAATTCCTTGCAATCTAATAACCAATACCTACTTAGATCCTATGTACACTCCAAAACACAATGCAGTGCCAACAGACTGAATGCAGGACTGAAAGTCCTATGTCTGATACTGATTTTCCTTTGTGGACTGCTGCAGGTAACCACCTAAGTCACCCTTATCTTCCTTGCAGGTGTACTGTGTGCAGACTTAAATAGGAAATGTATGTAGTTAGCAAATCTAAAGTACTGTTTAATTGTTTTGCCTGCTAGTGAGCATTTATAGCCTACTCCGTAACCTCATCTGCAGAGACAGAATTTGTTACAGCCGTGGCTAAAGAGCTTTGGACTTCAAAATCCATCTAAAGCAGATATGTGTATTTTTGTATTTCTGGAGCAACTGGACCAAGTGTTGATGTCTCTCTGGAGGTGACAAGTTGCGGAATCTAGGGGCTTTAAATGGGACTGGAGCCAACAGCAGAAAAAGACAGCCCCAACCCAACATCCAGTCCCTCTTCTTAAGCATGAACTTCCATGTTCTCTCTCCTCTTTGTCCTTCCCCCACTGATGCCATGGGCCACTGACATTGGTGCAAAACACCAGTCAGGGTATAGATATCAGCGTATTTTATTATGCCTTGTAGACCAATGATCATGCCCCACCCAGGGCATCAATCAGTTGTGGCAGCTGATGCAGTCTAGCTATGCTTGCCCTCACCTACATTTAGGAGCAGCACAAGCTCATCTGCCGCATCCAGGTGCAGGAATATTCTGCAGTCCAAGAGTGCCATGGCCTGTGCTACTATGTGGACTGTTGTTATCTTTTGATCTAACTGTTCTCCTCTGCTTCCAGGAGAGAAGTATGAGCTGCATGCAGGAACAGAGTCCACTCCCAGTGTGGTAGTGCATGTCTGCGACAGTGACATGGAAGAAGACGAGGACCCAAAGAATTCTCCAAAGCCAAAAATCATTCAAACTCGACGCCCTGGTCTGCCACCTCCTGTATCTAACTGAGCCTCTCCAGCAGAAGCAGCACTTCTCTCCTCCAGCACAGCTCTTGGTTTTTGTTTGCTTTGTTTTGTTGAAAGGCAGCCATCGCCTTTTGAGTTCCAGGACACTACTCATTGAAACCCCTTCACAGTAATCAAGCCTATGTAATCAAAGGGCTAGGAAAAAGATCTTTGTATATGTAACCATATCACACACCAACGGACAGGTTTTTCTGGAAAGGACAAAACAAGGCTGAAGAGACAAGGGAGGGTTTTGGTCTGAGGATTTTTTCACAGCTCTAATTTGCATGCTGAAACACCACTACCAGAGAGATTGTTCAGGTTGGCAATTAGGCTGATACCGAGCTTTTGATACTCAAACTCCCAGAATACTTGCTACTGCCCTTCATTGAGCAGCCAGCTTCTCTGACCCTCCCAGCTCCCCTGCAGACCTTAGTCTTTTCTTTTTCCTTGTAATTCTTTTGTTAAGGGGGGGATGTGTGTTGTTTTTAATCTATTAGCAGCTCGGTGGCCTTCTCACCCCCCTGGAGTTTTCTGTAAGGAATACTACCTTTGCAGCATTTTTGGGAGCAGCAGAGAAACACCCTCTCCCACCAGTAGAGCTCACTGGTCCTTAATGGTGGCAGGGATGTGAAATAGAGCTCTCTGGGCTGAGGGGAGAGACAGCAGCTTGCTGGAGGGTCCAGTGTCCTTCTCTTAAAGAGGAGTGAGCCAAAATATCAACAGGAATTGTTGTTCTGTCTTCCATAAAGATATGAGTGGTACTTCTCCCTGAGATTGAGGAAGAAAGAGAAGTTAACTGATGGCTCTCTGTCATAGCTGTAAGTTCTAGTAATGATACAGGCTTAATGCTTTCCTAATGGTGTGTTGAGTAGCCCTGAAACTGTTAATAATTACTTCCACATCTCTGATACTCAGATCTCTTACTTCCCCACTTGTGTGCTTTAAAGCCCTTTTTGAGCTGTATGCAGTTTGGGTTTGTGGAGGTGAGGAGAAGTTTGTTGGTGTTTGTTGATTTCGGGTTTTGTTTTTTTTTTTTTTTTTTTTGGCCAAAGAAAACAGGACCATAATTACACACTTGAAATTAGACTGCATGCAACTGAATCCCTTTTTTTCACTCCCTCCTGCATGTTTCTTTCACTTGCAGTGTATACTGGGTTACAAGAACTGTCCTGTGTTTTCATCGTGGCTGGCAGATACTGAATTCCCTGTCTGACAGACCTTCCATGATGACTACTTTTATTATGCGCACTTGTCATTTTGAGAACATATTTTCTAGACATTTGAGCTCAGATTTTGCATATATTTAAGCATGCGCTTAATTTATGCACATGAGTAGTTCCACTGAAATTAATACTGCAGGAAATTGAGCATATGTGTAAGATACAGTGGGATTTTAAAGCTAATTTAACTGCAGCTGTACTCCCAAAAGTGACTATAATGGCACAGTGAGGTTCCACTGTTTAAATGCATCCTGGAAGCTCGCTCTAGGATCTGAAAAGTCAGCTCACATTCTGTAATCAAGATTTTTGTCCTAAAAACTAATGATCTGGTCTCTGAGGAAGGGTTCAATTCCACCTTTAATTAGCAATGAGGCTATGGGCTTCAGCACAGTGAAGCCCCCCTTGCTGGAGCATCCATCTGCTCCGCAGTACTCCCAGGAAGAAAAGCAGGTTCTTCTGTCAGTGAAGAGTGGAGATGCCATTCTCAGCATGCATGGTAAGAATATTCTAAGACCTTCCTGAGGATTCACCATCCTCATACACTTCATTCTCTGACCACCACAGCCCCTAATATTCCTGTTGAGATGTAGTGCTTTCCTTAGCATATATCTACAGTGCGAAACTTATTACTGCATTATGGACCTTGTTGTGTGTGTGTTACACTAACAGAAGCACATTCTTACAGCAGAGACTGAAAAAAAAAATGAGGCTTCACTATCTTCATGATATGTGTAAACTTGTCTTAAAGTAACTCCTTAGAGGTTTCACTTAAGTTACTTTCTCAGAGGTGCATTTGGAATTGGTTTCAATAAATGAATTGGCACTTGCTGCCCTGGGACTATAACCTGGTGTTCCTCTTGAAAACACCATCAGAGGCCACCTGCGAGATTTTAGGAGTAACACCACTGTCCTTTTTGAGAACATACACAATGCTGAGGTCCATGAGGTTTAGAACACTTAAAACAGGGACAGTAAAATTTAAACACATAAGATTTTTTTGTTGAGATTCGCTGTATAGAAGAAATTACTGGCCCCATCCTCAAGTGATGTAAGTGATCAGAGATCATCTCCAATCAAAGCTGGTACTCTGGAGTTTTTTACATGCAAAAGCATTGGAAGGCAAATCTTATCCTTGTATCCATGAACTCGAACTTCAAAGAGACTAGATTCTGGAATACAGACTCTGGCCTCAAATGATTCAAAACTATACAGCAGATTAAAGCATTGGATCTTAGATGTGCTTTCCTCAAAGTGCATTTTCAGACAGATTTAAAAACAAGTCCCATGTAATGACTCCTCATTGTCTTTGTAAAACTCCTCAGTACTGCCCAGGAAGGAGTGGAATATGGCTCGTTGGGTGAAGTGTACAATAGAAACACAACTACAAACCTGAAAACTCAAAGAAGCCTGTTGTTGCTATGGTCAAAGCTTATAGATCACATTTTCATGATAAAATAATGGTCAGCACAGAAAAATGTTTCAGGTATTATGGAATAGCATCCCTATCATAAAAGTAGCAGCTTTCGTGACACTTACCTCTTGAGGCAACCTGGTATTTTGCTAGAGGCATGTTCTTGCCATCACAGAAGAAAGGCTTCTTTAAAAACACACTGACCATCTGGAGGAGAGGCTGTCCTGTTTAATTCAGTAATGCACAGGCAGAGCCCCTGCTTACTTCAGTGGGCATTTTCTTTCATGTAGCACCTACGAGCTCAGTCCTTCTGACACACTCTTTTCACAGGATGTCCACAGTGTTAGAAGAATGGAATCTCTGTTACATTACATCTGCCATTGAACAGTGATGTAGGAAGCATCCTTCTAATGTCATTTCTGAATCAGGAGCCTGTGAGAGCAGCTGGCAGCAGTGGCCTGGGGCCTGCTGTTGGGTGGACATGGCTGCAGTTGCTTGGAAATAAAGGCAGGGAATCAGGGAGTACAGCTGCTATTTCTGTTGCCTGCTGCCTGCTTGTCCTTTCTCACCTCTTCAGATACAAGATAAAAATTTTAATGACTTCCTAAGTACAGTTAAAAGCATGAAAATATTTACAGTGCATGGCAAAAGGGTATCTTTGAATCTGTGCTTTTGGATTAGAAGAAAGAATTTCTGTGGCCTTGATTTTTGTAATGAAGGCAAGGTAGTACAAACTCCCCCCTTCCTAACATACCCATACACCCTCAAGCACACTTTGTTTTCAGCAAGAAAACATGGCAAGAGCATTGCTTCCTCAACTGTAACAAGATTACAGGCATAATTATTGCAAGGTGCTTTATAGTGTGAATATGTGCCCCATGCATAAATTGTTTAACATTTAATTGATCTGACATCAGGTGGGGGTGGATGGGTTTATTCATATTTTGGTCTTTTCCCTGGTCCTTCCTATTTAGTAACAGTAAAAAAGTTTTCTTCAAAAAGACTGTACAGAGTGACAGACTAAACCATATTGCAAGACCTGATGACACTGACATGTCTGAGCACTGATGGTTTATGTGAGCATTTTCATTCTATTGTACATACTTTTGAGATATTCTATTTAGTCATATTTTATAGGACTACTGCAAAGCTATTGGCTAATTAATCACTTTTACACTTGTGTTAAGAGCTTAGTTTAAATGAATAAATATGGCAAACAATATTTTTGTGTTCTGCTTGCGTTGGCATTTTGAAAAGCATCATTTAAAGGACTTAAAGTATTAATAACTGACTAGTGTGGTACATACCACTGCTCTCCTAACTGGTAGAACTGAAAATGCTTAAATGTGTGATCTAGGCCAAACTCTGTTTCAGTAGCAATTAGGGGGGAAGCAGCCCTCTCGCTGGCAGGATATGCCATGTTCTGTTTCTGTGCAGTTTCACAGAGTGATGTGAGCTTGCACTGGTTTGCTGTGGATTTGGCTTGGTGTATGCAAAAAAAAAAAACAGAGCACAACCTCTGCTGGGCAAAAGCACACCCCTGGCAGCTGATGTGGTTCTTACTGTGCTGTTATAGTAACTGGTAAATGCGGTGGGCACGAGTGCCTGAGTGAGGAACATGGATGGCAACCAGCTCCTATCCAGGCTGGGGAAAAAGTTCTGTTAACATTAAGTATTACAAAAATTGAAAGTAATTGTTTGTAGTCTCTTGTGTCAATTTGTACTGAACCTTGCAGTGGATTGCAAACAAGGAGATGAATTTGCTGGTTAACTGTCTTGTGAAATTCTTGTATTTCATCACTGGGATATGCATTTTAGAAAATGATTGTTTTTGTCTGGGTGGCTGGCATAAAAGACATTGTTTCTCAGAGGATGATTGTTCATGATTCTGAAAGTTAGATCTGCTTATAAGTCTTGCTAGAAATGTAAGCTCTGAGCTCCCTGCTTCCTTTTGAAGAGGCAGATCTTAGCCTCTGTATTTTGATTAAAAAAAACAGTAGTTGTCTTCTCACAGTGTTCTTCAGAAGCAAAATGTACTATAGGAGGCCCAATTTATTTTTCACTTTTGAGCAACAAATGAGCTTTCTAACTACAGTAAGGCTGTTACCCTGCTCCCTGAAATGCTGCATTGCTTGCATGCCAGTTGTGGCTCTTCCCTCTTGCTTGGCACTGGACTGTGCACTTGGAAGTGAGCTTCAGTGCCTCAGTAGGTTGTTGTGGACATCCTGACTACAGTTACAGTGGTTTCAGATCGCATCCTCTAAAGAACCCTTACTAAGTTTATTTCTGTTTCTTCTTTAGTGGTAAACATTTTACCACTCAACATTGAGCCATTTAAGACTTGATCTCATGTACCAATATGAATTTAAGACCTTTGCCGTTCCTTAATTCCCCTCTCTCTAAAAAATACTACTTCTATTTTACCAAAAAGTAAAACCAGGTATGGATTAAAGCCCCAGTCAGCCCCTCATTTATTCTCATCCTCATGCAATGCTCTCAAAGAACTAGGTATGCTACCCTAAAAAAAACACCCCAAAACAGAACACTGCTTTTCCTGGTTTAGCACATCATCTGGGGGGAGCACAGCAGCTTTCACATATTCCAGGCTTCTCTTAAAAGATTTTCTTCCTAACGTAAGCTATGCTCTTTTTAAAAAAAAAAAAAAATACAAGTAGACTGCAGCATTCAGGGTTAAAATTACAAGGGAGGAAGCATTGTAAAAGCTCTTTCCGCATTGTAAAAGCTCTTTCCCACACGTCTATTTGAAGTGTTGAGTATATTTGTTTTGGCTTGCAGGGAAGTTTGCACTGAGGTAGAACAGCAGCAGCACTCCCAAAGGAAGGGCAAGAACCCTGAATGCCTCCACTGCAGAGATGCTCAGAAAGTATTAAAAAATGGCCTTGATTTGTCTCTCCCCTTTGTCAGTTTGTTCAGTCACTACACAGAGATTCTGGGGCTACGCTAAGAGTCATCTTAATAAAGGATTGTGTACCAATGCAGTAGCTACAAAGCTTAGAATCAGGGACACTTGTCAGTGAGATTCTTGCTGGAGTAAGGCTGGGAAGGCTGTGAAGTGTGAGCAGCCTCAAAGTTAATGAAAAACAAAGATGTTTACAACTTCAGGATATAAATTCATGAAACTTGGTTTTACAAATAAGAATTTATTAAGATGGCCCCATCTGCTGTCCCCGAGCTGGAGCTTCCTCACTCACCAGAGCATCCAGCAAGAAGGATTAAACTTCTCTACACCATAAAATCAGCCTTGTTTTAACAAATTGTTGTAATTGATCATTTAACTAGTACAAGAAAGTTGTGTCTACATTAGTGCCACACAGGTGTGTTCTCTTCACTATCTGGTTAATGAAGGTAAATGTTTTGAATCCATTTTACAGCAAAGTTCTTGTTCAGAAATTTCTGAAAGAAATGCCATCTGTAATGACTGTTGGATCCTTAAGTGTCAGTTTGGCAAGTTGTCCTGCTGTGGGTAGCTGCAGAAATATTTCATGTATGTTGTTGTAGATTTAAAAACATTACTCATATTTTCGTTCAAGTGTCTGCATTTCTGACACAGATGTGACATATCTGTATATATTATAAATCAATACTATTTTTAACCACATATTTTGTACAAATATTCACATTAGCTCTGTACTTCAATGAAAATCTATTATGGTATTAAACATTTTGGTGGAATTAACAAACTCCTTGATCATGCTTTGTTTTCATTTTACATGTTTTAAGCAGCTGAGCCATTTCCTACTTCCAAGGCAAATATTATCATTTCCAGCTATTTAGAGCAGTGCCTTAAATCCATATACACCTCTACCCTCTAGTGACTAACTCCAGCCACTGCAGATGAGTGCAGGTCACTGCTGAAGTTCCCCAGGCCTCAGGATCTGAGTGACGAGAGGCCAAAATTAAAGCTGAATGGTAAATGTGAGTACTATATTTCCTAGCTAATAACATTAACTATTAGGTGTGACACAGCACCCTGCTGTTGAAGGGAATTTAGCCTGAGATTTCAGTACACAGAGGTGCAATTTTCACAGAACCACAGAATTACAGAATGGTTTGGGTTGGAAGGGTCCTTAAACCTCACCCTGTGCCAACCCCCCTGCCATGGGCAGTGACACCTTCCCCTAGACCAGGCTGCTCCAAGCCCCCGTGTCCAGCTTGGCCTTGAACACTGCCAGGGATGGGGCAGCCACAGCTTCTCTGAGCACCCTGTGCCAGCACCTCACCACCCTCACAGGGAAGAGCTTCCTAAGGTATAATCTAAATATACCTTCTTTCAGTTTAAAGCCATTCCCCCTTGTCCTGTCCCTGCAGGCCCATGTCAGAAGTCGCTCTCCAGATTTCTTGTCAGCCCCTTTAGGCACTGGAAGCTGCTTTACGGTCTCCACGGAGCCTTCTCTTCTCCAGGCTGAACAAGCCCAGCTCTCTCAGCCTGTCTCCATAGCAGAGGTGCTCCAGCCCTCTGCCCATCTTTGTGGCCTTGTCTGGACTGGCTCCAACACCTCCACATCTCTCTTGTGCTAGCAGCCCCAGAGCTGGATGCAGGACTGCAGGGGGGGGGTCTCATGAGAAAGAAATTTCTAATTGCTTTTCCCTGCTTACCCCTTTCTCCCAAGCTGCTGGTGTGGGTCAGAAATCATATGATCTTCATGCTACAGATGTGGTCTAATCAGTTTTCTGTGTACACAAGCCACATCCACACAGCTTGCTGGTGTGGGTCAGGAATCATATGATCTTCATGCTACAGATGTGGTCTAATCAGTTTTCTGTGTACACAAGCCACATCCACACAGCTTGCTGGTGTGGGTCAGGAATCATATGATCTTCATGCTACAGATGTGGTCTAATCAGTTTTCTGCGTACACAAGCCACATCCACACAGCTTCTACCAACCAAATCAGCAACATGTATTTCCAGTTTTGTACTAGTCTCCATCTTGTATCTGTAACAGAACAACAGTAATAAAGGGGGAAAAGTAAAGATAGAAAACAATTAGAAGAGCCTTGTCCCCTGCTATAGTTCTATGAGCTGGGGTGAAGGGGAGGAAGATACCACACTTGTTGAAGGAATTTAGATACAATGATCAGACCTTGCCACTGTCCCAAGCTTGAGCGTGTCCCTTCCTGCATAAGCCTGGCCAGCCCAGTGATCTGGAGCTCATGCAGCCAAGCTGTCCCTTCGCACATAAAGGAGCCAGTCTTACCTGGATTACAGCCTGCACCCAGGTTACGGGTAACCCTTTTCTACCTACTTACTAATGATCTGCTGTGTCGGAGATGTGAAGGCTCCAGTAGGTTGCCATCAAGAAGAAAGCAGGTTCATCCTGTAAGGATGAGAAAAAACACCCAACACCCCCTGAACCCCATGGGTTTTGTTCTCTTTGCATTGTAATTCTTGTTTACACTAGCAGGACGTACAAGTTAGGTAGTGCCAGCTGTGAAGTGATCAATACAAAGCATGTTCCTATGCACCAGTAGTGATTTTGTACACAGCCAGAGAGCCAGGTTTGTGTACATACACAAGGCACGGGCTTGTACCTGTTTATAGCACAATCCCTCAGCTGTTAAAGGGGGGAAACCCAGCTTGGATTTTTAACCCTTCAGATTCTACTGAGATGAGGATGAAAAACTAATTCTCCTTGATTCCAGGGCATGGCTATGGGGCTTGAACACGGAAACATCGAAAAAAGTACCTGCCATAAAAAAAAACCTGAGAGTTTAGAGGCTCACAACACAAGAGGAGAAAAAAGGCAGATGCAAGAACACCTGAATCAATTCTCTTTGTTTTTAACTGAAGAAGTACTTGCAGATACCCAGAAAGCGAACCTCGCTCCTTACCCTCGCAGCCAGCCCGAAGCGCAGCGAGCCCGCCCCGGCCCTTCTCTATTTAATCCATGGCACGCACCACCCCCTTTACACCGCGCCCTCCTCAGACCGCCCAAGCGCCGTGCCGCAGCCTCAGCCCGGTGAGGGGTTGGAGCCCGTGCTGGCCGAGTCGTCCTCGCGCTCCGCGGCTGCCGGCAGGTAATGGGGGGCCGCGGCTCTCTGCGGCCTCGTCTCTGGCGCGGGGCGGTAGGAGCTGGGGCAGGCGGGACCGAGGGCTCCGGCGCGGGGAGGCGGCTGGTTAGGCCGCGGTGGGGGCTGCCCTGGGCCGAGGGGGCTCTGGCGTGCACAGCGCGGGGTACCTGAACCGGGCTGCGCTTCGCGGGGCTGGTTTGGCCGCGAGTGGGGGCTGCTGTGTAGGGCACTGCCGGACGCGTCCCTGGTGCTGGTGTGGCGGTGCGGCAGCTCCCTGCTCCGGGCAGTCGGGTGCCTTTGTCCCACCAGAGCCCCTTCAGACCCTCAGGGCCGTGCTTTAAAGTGCTGAGCCGCCGAGAGACCTGGGTCAGTAGATGTGCTCAGGTGTGTCCAGGGGAGACCAGTATGGGATGGCCCTGAGGAAAAAGAAAACAAATGACATGATTATTCGTTTTAAATATGTAGTTAAAGGATTGGGATGTTGACATCGGTATTGTTAATGATTCTGTGATAATGAACTCTGTCAAATTCAGAAGGATGGACCTAATTTCCCTTGAGAGGACTTCAGTTTGTATTTGTCACTCCCAAGAAGGGGGAATGTATTAGTCAGTCCCGGGCTGCACTTAATTTGGCAGCTGGGGTTCAGGTGGACACAATGGCGTGTTCTCCTTTCCTTCAGATTCAGCTGAAAGAAATCCCACATGGGGTGGAGTGATGCAGCCCCACAGGTCTGGAGTGTTTGCTGGAAGGGGGATTATGCCTCTGAAGTGTCAGTGCATTCTTAGCAGCACTGAAGGCCTGGATGTTAATTTTGGGAGACACACAAGGTCAGGGGAAAGTTTACACTGTTTTCCAAGTGTAAATGTATTCCAGTGCTGTATATTGGGAGGAATTCTGGGAATTGGACTAGGAAAATTCCCTATGGAAGATATCTTGTGTTCTACCAGAATGACAAATCCTGTTCCATCACTGCAGCGGCATTCAGATGCCTGTTACACTAGAACTTTTCATATGAAGTAGGGTATTAATGTATTATGGATATTAATATGGATTTACTGCTTACAGAAGCACTGTTTTCCAGCTGAATTTTAGTAGCAGAAGTTTTCTCATAGGCCAGTTTCTTACAGCTTTGAGTACAGAAAACACTTGAGAGATGTGGTATTTCCAGTGGCTCACTGAATGCAGTACTACTGAATCTTCCAGCCACCTCTTTGCAGTCCCTGTAGGGACATAAGTGGTTAGTCAGAACTTAAACTGTACACCGGCTTGTATGACTTGTGTACGTTCTTGTTGGTAAAGCTGTCTGTACACAAGAAGTGACCTTTGGTCGTAAGTGGATTAATAAGAGCTTGGTTTTGTAGCAAAGCTATAATCAGGTTAGAGATGTGATAAAATGTTGGGAAAACTGACGTTGCTGCTCTTTGTCTAACCCGATCTGACACCTTGTAAGCAGCACAGCCTTTTAATGGATGTATGACTGTGTCTGAAGTTCAAAGCTTGTTTTCTAGATTCCCCACTAGATTACCTGTACATTTAGTAATCGCACACCCAGTGTGGGGGCTTAGAAGCTATGATGGTTTCTAGGTGGTTCCCTCTCCCTGATGGGAGCTGTGCAGGTGCAGGCTCCACCAGTTACCGTGTTGTGCTTCCTTCTTCCATCCATTGCCCTGCAGGTATGTGGTCTGTGCCACTCTTGCACTAATGCTTCATTGGCTTTTATGGGGGTTATAAAATTCTGGTGGAGATGGACCTTGTTATTCTCATGGTGAGAGCTGCCCCTGTTTACATCTTAACTCTTAACAAACAGAAGTTTTCTTGTAGGACAATTTCTTACAACTTTGGGTAGAGGAAATACTTAAGAACTGGTCAGATTGCAAGAGCAGGAGTTCCTGTGTATTGGGAGCAGGAAGGAAAAAGGAAGAGGTTGAGCAGTGATGTTGGGTAAAGAAGTTGCTCTGCAAACTGAGTTTCATCCAACAAATTGTAGTGTCTCACTTCCCATCTCTGAAATTGGGATATCAGTATAACTGATAGGTACGAGGTCTTGTTTGGAGTGTCAGTGTTAGTAAGGCAAGCTGTACAAATGCAGAAGGAATATTTTAGCTACTCATTCTTAAAACTAAGTTATGACTTTGATAAACAGGTTAACGCAAACAAATGTTCTGTCTCTGCTCAACAGATGCCGTGTTGCTTCCGAAGAAGGGACGAATACCTTTCGGAATAGCCATGAACTGTTTATGGAGAGTCCTGGCAATTTTCTTATCATTTCTTCCAAGCACATTGTCTCTCCAGCCAGCCCAGGCCAAAGTGTTGCTGGTATCTTTTGATGGATTTCGATGGGATTACATCTGTAAAGCCTCAACTCCCAATTTTCATTATGCCATGGAGAATGGTGTTCATGTCAAACAGGTCACTAACGTGTTTATAACGAAAACGTATCCTAATCATTACACAATGGTGACTGGTCTCTATGCAGAAAGCCACGGTGTAGTTGCTAATGAGATGTATGATCCTATTCTGAATGAAACTTTCTCTTTGAGCAGAATGGCTGTCTATAACTCCAAGTTCTGGGAAGAAGCCACACCAATATGGATAACAAACCAGAGGGAAGGACATAAAACTGGCGCAGCCATGTGGCCTGGAACAGATGTGAAAATACATGGAGTCTTTCCTACGTATTATATGCCCTACAACTATTTTGTCTCCTTTGAAGATAGAGTTGCTAGGCTTATTGACTGGTTTACATCAGAAGAGCCCATAAACTTTGGTCTCCTGTACTGGGAACAGCCTGATGAGATGGGCCATATTCTGGGTCCAGAAAACCCACTTATGGGGCCTGTAATTAGTGATATTGACAAAAAGCTGGGATATCTTCTGTCCGAACTGAAGAAAGCAAAGCTATGGGATGTGGTAAATGTCATAATTACAAGCGATCATGGAATGTCAGAGTCTTCCTCAGAAAGGCTCATTGAGCTTGATCAGTATGTGAATAGAGAGCTCTATAAAATCTTTGAGAATTCTCCTGTGGTAGCTATTTTGCCAAAAGAAGGTAGGAGTTACAGCAGTAAAATTCTCTGAAGAAAATACTTGAATATGAAAACTTACAGACTTTGTTCCTTAACTAAAGTGGCAGCAGCAGCCACTGATGCCAGTAGGATGTCAGCCTTGAACAAGGAGTACTTGCAGGATCACTCCTTTGTTGTTTTTGCTAGCTCTGTCAAAAGCCTGGATTAAGCCTTTTTTGCTAGCTCTGTCAAAAGCCTTCATTTCTGAAATGAATTGTGAGCAATTTGTCTGTTGTTGACTAATATTGCCAAATATCCTTTAGTGCTTACAAAAAGTAAGATAATCTAAAAGCATTATGAAGGATGAATGGTGTTCTAGATAGATAACAACTGAATGTCACATGTCTTGCCATTCATCAAAATGATATGGCTAAAGTCATAATGGAAGAATTAGATTTCTAACTCAAACAGTAAACTGAAACCAGATGGGGACCTGTGATAAAAAGAAAGCCTGTGTTTGCTGTTTGATCAGCTGCCAGCTATTGTAGTTCAGTTTTTTCCCCATCACTTTTAATAGCCAGTTATGTTCATACCATTTTTATTGTCATAATAATGGGCAAGAACACTGTTGGAATCAAAACCTGAAGTCTGGTTGCAGTCACTGAAGTGTTGCTTAAGTGTCAGGTGTATGTTTAGGGTAGTGATGTAGGGATGCTGCTCTTTAGTTGGATGATCAAAAGCTATAACTGGTGCGAATGTGTTAACATGGAAAATAGCAGGTTTATGTATGGGCAGCAGGGCTAATTTGGAAGTTGAGTTTTAAGGTGACCTTCTGGAAAGGCATGCCTGTAACATTTGCATTACTAGTGGATAGCACTCTACTTAATGCCCCAGCAGAGAGGATATTTTGCAGACCTACGTGACCTTTAAATATGTAAACAAATGTCTCCTCTCATTTTTTAGTTTGAAGAATACTCCAGACTAAAAGGTTAGTACATCCAGACTGAGTCATTTGCTACCTGAGTGCAATCAGGTTCTTCTATCTGAGTGCTGTTTCTGTCAGTGGTGATAGAAGAGCTGAGTTGGGGAGTCCCATTCTAATGGAGACAAACAAGGTTGATCAGGATGTTCTCGTTACCAAATAAAGGAGTTGTAAAAGTAAACTTTAGTGCTGAAACATCCCTAATGCGGTAGATGAGAACTTAAAAGATGCATAACCTGATTCTCCTGCTAGATGCTGAAAAGAAATAGTATCTCTGCAGCAATTAGATGACAGAGTAGTAAAAAAGCCATTTCCAAAATAGCTTGGGTTTGATTTTGCTGAGAGGTTCAGGTATCTATTACACTACCAATAAACAAGAATTAGTTTTGAGGCTGTTTAAAAGTCCTTCCTTTTGTGTTACCAGCTGTAATTTTTATTATAAACCATTTAGGTATGAAATAACAAGTACCTAAGACTGATTCCTTGAGTTATTTGTCTTGCTTGTAAAACTTAGTGAGACATTGAGAAAAATGTTGAACGCTTCAACATGCAGCAGTTTCTGCTGCTTTTACTGTTTGGTGGCATATTTCTTCCCTGAGAGATGGATTAAAGCTGTTCTTTAACTGTGATGGTGTATTAGTGTGTGTGGAACTAAGCATATGTTCATGAACGTGGTACCTATAGCACAGCTGGTGATGCTGACCTCTTGCATATAACATCATACATTAATTCAAAGAGTTAATTTAGTGTAAAAATCATAGTTTGCTGTATTTGGGGCTTCTCCTCTCTGTTATCCCACATAGAAAAGTGGCATAACAAAATTAGTTTTGTTACTAATTTAATACTAGAAATGCTAGATTGGAGTCCTTTTCCCTGTTGCTCTGTCTCTATCATATCTGGACTTCTGCTGTCTCATCTTGACCTTTATTGTCAAGACTGTTAAGTTTCTTTCTTTTATGGTTAAGGTTCTTTTATGCCAGTTTGAGTTAAGTAACATTATACATTAATCCATTTCCAGTTTTCCTTCAGAATCTCCATACTGGATCCTAGGAACTGAGGAGGCAAATGGAGAAGTTTTCTTTGAAGTCATTGGTTACCTCCTCCCAAACTTTTTTCCCCTGAGATACATGCAAAACTCCATCCAGTAAATGGTATACTTCAGGAAGCATCAGACAGGTCAAATTAAGCACTTGATCTGGTGGTCATCAAGGCAGTTGTTTCTTGGGATAGACACTCAGGGAAGAGCTCACTTGGAGGAACACCTGCTGCAGGATGTGGCTGTGAAGGCAGAACTAGACAGAAATAAGTTGTCAAAATGACAGGATGTACTTAAAATTCCCCTTATCTGCTAAAAATGGCAGTGTTGGCCACAAGGGAAATGTAAAAGTCTTCCAGTTGTGCTTCAGACCTTGTAGGGCTGAAACTGGCCTTTGGAGACTAGCTGTGAACTCTGCTGTCTGACTGACTTGCACATGTGTGTAGTAGCACAAAGTACTTAAATAAGTCATGGAGCTGAGTTACTTGGTGCCTAACAGAAGTCTGTTATATACGCTGCATAGCCCTTAACAGGAATCTTGGCCAACATGGAGGTGGAATTGAAGAAACTTGCTCAGATGTAGGTTGTTGAACTTGCTTTTGTATTACTATCTTGATGTCCTGGTTCCTCCCTCCTGCTCGCTGGTGGTGTTCAGCTTGTCCAACTGCTTTCTGGCTGTTCAGTGTCTTTTACTGGAAAGAAAAGCTCAGAAACTGGAAATAAGGAAATAAAGAATTGGCAGTGGAAAATTCTTATTTATTTGTTAGTGTTAGTACAGCTCTTGAGGATTTACACTCCCTATGCAGCAGATGACTAGGGAAAGGAAAAGAGTAGGGCTAAGAATACAAGCGAATGTGTAGCGATGTTAGCTGCTGTTGAGTACACAGTTCAGGCCAGAAGTGCCGTTTCACCTGTCAGTCCAGCCTGTCCCTTTGTTTGTCCCCTGTTCCCTGCTTAGGCCTCTGAAATCTTTGTACAGCTCCTAATGCACTAGTGGTGTCTGAACTGTGACCTGAGGGCTTCTGTTAAAAGATTAATACAAGCTAGTTGTGCTTATCCCTAAGCAATTAATTGCTAATACTGTGATACGTGGTGCAGAGCAAAAAAACTACCTGCTCTTTCTAAATCAGCTAAACGTGTCATCAGAATGGTAGAAGATCAAAACTGGGAATCAAATGGGGTCAGATATGTAGCTGTTTATTGGAGCGTCTTGTAGAAGAAAAATAGTTGGGCTCACTCAGAAGTAAGTTTTCAGAGATGCCAGGAAACAAAGTGGTGCTCTCTGTGGCCTTCTAAAGGAAAGCAGTTAACAATTAAACTGATTTAAAAAAGTGTCATTTGTTGTCATAGCCAACTGAGGGGAAGCAGAATATGGCCTTAACATGTGCGTTACCTCATGAACAGGTTTAGGAGCTATCTTCTCGCTTTCAAGCTTTGCATGGAGCTAGGAGGATCTGGTTTCTTTTCCGTGAGTGTTAATGGAATGCTTCTGACTCATTCCTGTCAGAAGCTTATGTTCTGGTAACTATGAAACCAGGGATTTTTTTTTTTTTTTTTAAATTAGCACTTACTGCTTGGGAATAGGCTGTGAAGGGCAGTGCCAGGTGTGAGCTCACTGTGAATGATGCTCTGGATTTCTCACAGTAACTTCTGTGCACGTTCTAATCCACTCTTGCCTCTTACAGATATAATTAACTTTTGGGGAAGTGCATTTTGCCCTCTTATTCCAATTGTATTTAATCTGCTGATGAGTTCAGTAAGCATACCGCTATGTTTAAGTTTTGTCTTTTGTTTCTTTGAAGGCAAACTGGATGAAGTATATGAAGCTTTGGCCAATGCTCATCCCAACATGACTGTATATAAAAAGGAGCAGATTCCAGATAGATTACATTACAAACACAACAGGAGAATTCAGCCAATCTTAGCAGTGGCTGATAAAGGATGGGAAATTGTGTATAATAAGTTTGATGTTATTCAATGTAAGTATTCTGTCTTTACAGTGTTTTGGTTATTTTAAGACTGGGATGGAAAGCTCTGTAGTTAAGTGTGTGGAATTTAATTTTTTTCCCATGGGATGAAGGAGGAGGAACTGGACTTACCATTTCAAAAAGTAAAACTCACTGAGATATGATCATTCACGTGTTGTAGTGGCCTCACACTTGAGGTCTTATTGTAAGATCTAGCAAACTGACAAGCACTTTCTGAGAGATTAAAAAGAAACTAAAAGTTGTAAGTGAGCTTGCCAAGTAGAGGATGAATTGCTTTGTTTTATCAGGTACTATTTATTTGCTGGAGAGGCGTTGCATTGGAAATACAAGAATGCTTTCTGAAAGTCCTCATTTTCTGTGGATGTATTTGCTTACAGTAACCTTATTCTATTGCTAGAAAGAGTCCTCAAATGCTGTGTTTTACTGTACAGCAGTGATTGTCATTTACCTTGTAGGCTAAGATGCATTCTAGGTGACCTGGAGGAAAAAATCCCCACATTTCAGTTCCTCTCCTTGGGGTTTCACTTTTATTATAGGTAGAATGGAGACAGTAAACTGTAGCTTTTGGTTAGGTATGAGGAAAAATAAAGGTGTCATATTGTCAATTCTTAACTTTCTTAACTAGAAACCTTTTAAATTTGCTGCTGGTTATGTAGCTGAAGGGTATTTCCTGTAAGACAAATACTTCAGTTATTGATAGATGATGAGAGCAGCTTTTTGTGCTTACAGGTGTATTTACATGTGCAGGGTTTTCAGTGCCCTGCAAGGCACTGGAGACCCACTAGTGAGACTTGTAAACTTTTCCCTTGTTGATGAGCAGATCATGCACAAAAGTGGACAAAGCATCCAAGCAGCCACAGCTTAAGTTCTGTCAGCTACTAGCAGTTGGTCTGTCTTTACATGGATTTCCCCTTCCTCCCTCTCTCCCCCCAAGAGATCTGGTAGAGTTGCAAAGTTGGAGTTTTTTCTTAGGCAAAATCAATGAAGCTTGGGTGTAGCCCAACATGCCATTGGCAGCGCTGTTACTGCCCTGTGAGCCTGCCTTTTTTTAATTTTTCTTTCTTTCTTAAAAATAGTGTTCTCCATTCTTTTTCCTAAGGCATTTTCTCTTTGTAGTTCTGAGACTTGGTATTTGCTGGGAGACATTTATGCTGTTTATCAAAATGATTCCTCAAAACTTGTGGAAGACTAAATGATGTCTGTCGCTTTTCTGTGTTCTGTTAGTTTTAGCAAAAAGTTTAATGCTTGTTTTGCAGCTTCAGAATATTGACCTTTATCTGTCTTTCATTTCCAGCTGGTAATCATGGATATGACAACATGTTACCAGAAATGCATCCCATTTTTTTGGCATTTGGGCCTGCTTTCAGAAAGAATGCCACTAAAGAAGTAATGAATTCTACAGACCTGTATCCTTTATTGTGCCATCTGCTTGGTATTAACCCGCTGCCACACAATGGCTCATTCAACGCTGTGAAAGACATACTTGCTGAAGAAGTTCCCTTTGGAGCAGACACCTATGCTACTGTTCTAGGAGTCTTTCTAGGCAGCTTTCTTGTTATGGTTTTTATTGCAATTTTTGTTAAGCATTTTATCTTCATCCAAGCAAACACCATGCAAATGAAACATACTGAAGCTGCCCAACCACTGTTGCAAGATTAGTAACACATGGTACTATTTCCTGTTTGATGCTTAATGTAAGCTTACACAAAAGAAAAAAGTCACAAAAATGGATAGAGGTGGGTCAGCATAAATGCGTGGAATAAAAGGAAATGGGTGCTGATCCATTGGTCCAGTGGAGTGCATACATACCAGGTGTGCAGAGAAAGAGCCTGTTTCTGTTTCAGCCTACAGCCACTTAATCTTTCAGGGGTTGAAAATACTCTTAGGGACACTGTATGTATGTAGACATGTAGATCTTGAATACCCAATTCTGACCTACTTTAGGGAAATAACATCAGCTGAGGTGCACTTCACAGACTATTATGTGGTGATTTAATCCCCCTCCACCCCCCCTTTTTATTTTCCTTTGAGAAGTTCTTTTTCGTTTCTTGGATTCTAACAAGTAACTGAATGGGACTAGACTTCTTTGGGGTGTTTATTCCATGACCAAGGAAGCTTTTGCATGGATCACCATTGCAGCTAGCTTGGCAGAATAAATCCTGCAGAAAAACAACATTATTATTAAGCTAGGTCATGCACTGCTAAATGTCTTAAGTTTAGAGTTAGGCGTGTTTCTTTAAACTACTGTGTTAACTATAGCCCCAGAATAAGAACCTAGGCGGTATTGCCTTCAGCAGTCAGCATTAAACTGCTTGGTTTTTTGTTTTGTTTTGGGGTTTCTTCAGGTAAATATAGGTCTTTTTTAGGTATGCTTTGAGGTAAATGTCTTTCTGTTGTTCCTTGTACACTGGACTAAGTTTTCTAGGATTTCCATGCAGTCGGCAGTTTAAAGACATATACAAACACAACACCTTTATATCCAAATGGACTCTTCCATATTTCTGTGATGAGAGGGTTCCTTCAGAATAAGGCATATGAATCAGGAAAGGAACATACATGTGCAAGCTGTCTTCAAAGTGCTGTCAAGCTTGTCACTGGGTGACAGCATCTGGAGACTCTCCTCTGGTGTGGGTTTTGCTTGCTGTCTTGTGTTTTATCTGACTGGACCTTAGAGTTTGATGAATATGATTAGACACACAATTTAAGGAATATCCATATCTTAAATGTGAAAAAGCACACTTTTAATATGAAAAAAAGGCGTAAGACTGGGGTTTGTTCTTCCAGATGAAAGTCTCTGTCAAGGAAAATTACTTATTATGGGTTATCAAAACTACATGTTGCTCTGATAATTTTGCATGGAGCAATATATCTTTTGCTGTTGTAGCTGTGGGGTTTTTGGTGAGCTTATTTAAATGGGAGGCGAGAAGCTGCTGACTAAGGTTTGCATGAAACCTTAGGGGTTTGAAGTGAGAAAAGTTGTCTAGTTGTCTGACTTATTTAGAAGCTGGTGGTTGTTTTTCCCCTCCCTATATGAGTTGACTATTTCTCTGCACTTTGCTTCTGACTACAATGCCTGAAGGAGAAAGAAACTCTTTCAAAATTCACACCAACTGTGAGTCTGGTATTTCAAGTGTAATTTATTGCTTTATCCACAGCACCCAGAGAAGGGCAAAGGTGGGAACATCTTGGCCTCAGATGTGATCTGTCAAACTACTGGTGTGACTAACAGTGTAAGGCTGCAGGTGCAGGGTTGCTGGCAGTCCTAGCAAGGAGCAACAAGCTGACTAACTGAAGTACAAAACTCATTTTGCTGAACTTAATTCCAGACCTACTGAATGTCACCTTGGTGAGTTCAAACGCAAGTATACGCCTCACTGCCTCAGGGATGACTCTGCAGTGCCATGTCCCGAACTGCCTGGTGCTCAGTGTGTCTGAAGTAACAACCTGTTGGATTCTTTTGTGATGACAGGGACACTTGCTTGGCATTAAGTGGTTTTGCAGACGGATGTGGAAGGTTTCCACAGACCACAGTGCAGTGGATGCTTGAGAGGGAAGGCAGTGAAATACTCCACTTTAAGGTGTATGCTGAAAGTCTACCTGTAATAATAGCTGTAGGAAGACAGGAAACTAGCAGATCTGTGGAAGACAGCCCCTTGATTTAGGGATATGTGTGAAGCCTAATGAGAATCTGATTCATCGCTGCAGTCCTGCTCTTCCTGTTCTGTGTACTGCTGCCTTCTTTACATACATTGCCGTTTTCTTAAGAAAACACTGAAGGAAAACACCTGAGTTAGGTGTATCTGGCACTGTAAAATTCTTAGTGGAGCTGACCATTAGCTATGTCTTAAGTCACAATTTAGAGGTTCAGGTTTTCTACTCGGGCTTCCCCAGACACTCTAGAAACTGCTGTGAACATTACTGTTGCCTCCATCTGTCAGCCTGAGAAGCCCCTGCAGCATTCAGCTTTAGCTGGCATCAGCAAAGTAAACTTATCACTTCCCTAGCTACCTTCCAAAAAGTGGGTGGCAGACAGCAGCTTGATGCACTAAGTCCAACTTTTCTTTGTTATTTGTAACTTAAAAGCAAGCTTTAGCATAAATGTTGTGTTTGAAGAAAGATCTACAGGCTTTGTCAAGGGAGTAACTGAAAACTGGAGAAGCTATAAACATACCCTGTAGCTACTTCAGCTACACGCTTTCTCACTTTGAAACATTATGCTTTAATATTGTTATTGCAGTAATTTCACAGAGGTAAAAATGACTGGATTGTAGTCTGTGAGGTGATCATTAAACTCCAGCTTCTTTAACCGTGACCAGAGTAGTTCTATCATGGGCCAAGTGACCCTGGCTTTTAAGGGGGAGGCAAGAGTTGGTCAGTGTTGTTCAGTCATCTTGGGACTCACCTGCACAAACATAAAACAATGGAAGAGTATGTTTCCCCTAACAAAGGGTTTGGGAATAATAATACCTATAATAATTGGGAACACAAGCATGAGAATTCTTCTGGATGCCACTGGTCTGTATTGCACTGTAAGGCCCTTCCTTGAGGGGGGTAAATTGAAACTATGTAGGAAACAGAAGGGAATCTTTCAGCATGCAGGTATTTTAGGTGTAGGTTTAAACATGTTTCCCTTATTGCTGAGGTGTATTTGCAGGAACCTCTGGGCAAATATGCTAACTAGTCAGTGTTAAACACTGTTTTAAGGTGTTGGGTGTATGCTTAATGAAATTGAAAGCACATGTGATGCCCCTGGAGAAAAATAGCAACTTTTTCTCTGATGGGAGATTTTTTTCAGGCTACCTTTTGGCGGGGGAGGATCTGGGATTTGGTTTCTGTGTATATGGCACTTTTTTGATGTACAAACAAGTTTATTGGAAATGGGTTTCAGTATCCTGCATGCTACTTGTAACTTAAGCTTGGAAACAGAAGCTTGCATTATTTTGTCTTTCGTTACTGACCTGTGAAGCATACTTTGAGATGTCAAATGTTTTGTTTCTTTCTGTTTGGAAACGTTGAAGTTGAAATATGTCTTTGCTATAGAGCTATCAAGCATTGGGTGCTTGCTCCATTTAAAAGGACTTCTGGAAAAGACTTGAATTGTGGGGGGATGGCTGGGGGAGAATGGCCTTAACTCATATGTATCCCAAATATTTCATGTACTCTGCAAAGTGTATCTGTAATTGAAAATAACTGGAAGTGTAATGGAACTTAAGAACATTTGGGTCAAAGTTCTTAAAAGACCTCTTGTTTCCCACCTTGCTATTGTTACCAGGAATGGTAATAATTTTTTATCAAAACAAGCTGTGCAGGTTTCCTTGGTAAAGAAAGAGCTGCAGTAATGTTATTTGCAAGAAATGCAGGCTCAAACAAAAAGGGGCACAAAAATGCCAACCAAGGGTTGTGCAGAGTGACTTTTCAGAGGTGTGGAACAACGCAATCCTGAACTGTGTGCTGGGAGAATGACAAACAGGCAGTTGCTGAGTCCTGCTGCTTTGTAAAATGCAGATGCCACAGGCTTCCTGCCACGTCATCTTTCCTGCTTAAATAATGGCCACAAATGTGGGCTTGACCATACCTGTGCTGCTCTACACATCTTTCCAGAAAGGGCATGTTTGCACTACAGTAAAGGTAATGTATGTTTATTACATGTGAGGCTACAACAATTGTTGCAAGCACATGAAAGCACCACATTCTAATGGGCCTTGCTGTAATGAAGTCCTGATCTGAATCCTATTAACTTAACAAATCTTACTGTTTTCTTCAATAAAAGGTGGTACCAGGCATATTAAAGCAAACCTTTGTGGTCTCATCATTGGAGGTATGTAATGCTGTTGGTTTGTATTCGTAGACACTACATTCTTTTTGAATTACAGCAAGTTAAACTTCCTCTGTAGCAAATGGTTTGGACCTGTAGTTGCTTGAATCAGATCAGTTGTGGAACCGTTTCCTTAGTGCAAAAGGACAAAAACATATAAACCCCAAGGGGTGGATGTTATAAAGGCTTCTCTATGCAGTGTTGAGAGTTCCTTTATCAAGCTAGTCAACATAATGGAACATCTGTCTTCATTGCTGGGAAGTAGTGTTAGAAACTGCCCATTCCCTTCTAAACCTTTATGCTAGTTTTAGAACTTCCCCTAAACTAATATGCCCTGTATGAACACTGCAGAGTTGTGTATGTTTCACAAGTCATTAAATGTTGCCACAAACCATTGTAGGGTATGCATGTCCTCTGTCACAGCTTTGAGGAAGGGGGAAGTCATGGCTTCTTATGTTTGTGTTTTAGACAAACTATTTAAAAGGAAATCAGGTGCTGACTTTCACAAGCAGTAATTCACACACTATAACTGGACAGTGGAAATACTGAACCATGTTTTAGGCATTAACTTCTAAAAACAATCTTCTTTAAATATTTCAACTTTATGTCTAAGGACAAAGAGGTTTCTTCTAGGTCCTTTATTTGTACATTATCTGTAGGAAATCCTGGCTGTACAAGAGCTACTTTGAAGCCTGTCCTGCCAGCACCAGTTATGCCAGGAAGAAGACTTGGCACTCTAATTGGAATTGGCGATAACTAGCAATGCAACCAGAATATAGTTTATCCTATTTCTTAATACTTCAGCTTTCTCTTTAAACCCTTCTCCACAATAACACTGTTTAGTCCCAACACTAAAGGGAGGAGGAGTAGAGGGTAAGAAGCATTTCT